AGGAATCAAAACATAAAGATTAATTGTAAAAATATAAGAATAAGAAAGGTGGATATAACAGAGTTGGAAGGAATAGCCTACTCAATTTGTCAGCCGATAATTGTCCACATTCATTCCTGGTCTCGAGCAAACGTTCTTCAGGAAAGGCTTGGAGAACATCAGCCGTGCGAAGGCGCCCGCCAAATCGAAACCCATAAATCGGCTGGAGCAGATTTGATACGGGGTGCGATAACATCTGGCCAGAAGATACGACGGATGAACAGAGAGCTTCAACGTAGGTCCCAGGGTTCTTACTCGAAGCAGTGATAGTGCCAGAAGAAGAGGCTAAATTTAAGTATCCAGCAGCCGTGCGAGATCGCACAACTTCATCACCGTGGAAAAAGTGTATGCGTACTGCATCCAGCCCAGGAGGAAGAACGATTACAATATCGCGCAAACCACCTGGGGGTAAAATTAAACGCGAAGGCTCAAGACCAACGAAATTGGGAACATCTGGCTTTGGTGCTCGGGTATCTGTTGATTGTGCGCTGCTATAAGCAAAACCAGTAAAAGTGGTTAAGGTGGTTGAAACTATAGTGAGCGGACGAATCCGAAGTCGATGCCGAGAGCGACGTAGTCGGTGGCGACGTTTGTCCTGTTGATCTGCGGGAGTGGTAGGATCTAAGAGGGGAAGAGCAATCGCAATAACCCAGGCTGACCTATCCCCCCCATTTGAAAGCGTTACTCGAGCACTATGGCATAGTAAAGACGATGATGATGGAATTGTTGGCAGCCCGACTTGGGAAGAGGAATCAGACAACTGGATAGTATAAGGGATGGACTCCAGTGGATGAAAAGGAAAGGCTTGCGCCCAGTATATCCCGTTTCCTAAAGGAGAGCAGCATTGACACACCACTTCACTGCGGCCGGAGTAACCAAGGAGGCGAATCTAGTCAATATAAAGATAATTCGGAAAACAAATAGGTAGAAAATCAAGTTATAGAATAGTATGTCAGTATATTGATGCCCGAGTAGCTTTTATTTCGTTAGGAGAGGCAAGTTGAAGGGATTCATAAATTGGCACCACCGGAAGCATAAGGAGGCTGGCCTGGAGCTGTGACTGTAGAATTGGGCGAATAAGGCCTCAGCGACTCACGACTTAAATAAAACCTTAATGAGCTTTTATCCGCCATGTTACGAACATTATCAGAACAGGACATTAATTAATTAAATAAACATGAAGACAAGAAAGGTGGCCGGTTACAATCTTACCTACTACATATAGTCTGTGTCCAGTTTTAGGTTATGATGCAGAATCGATGTACACGAACAGTCCTGTAGACAGGACAGACAGGCTCTAGAATTAACATCAAATCAACACCTAGGAATTTTAAGCA